ACTTCTGGGGCATTATTAGCTCATTTTCAGGTAAGACCTACTTTAATTAATAAGGTTAAAAAAGCTCGATCACAAGACCCGACATTGAAAACATTGAAAGCAGAAGTCAGTGGTAGGCTAAGAAAGGATTATGTGATTAGAGATGATGGCGCATTGGCTATGGGTAATAGATTATGAGTTCCAAATATTCTCGAATTAAAGAAAGAGATTCTGGAAGAGGCACATAGTTCTGCTTATGCTATGCATCCAGGTAGTATTAAAATGTATCATACATTGAAAGATCATTACTGGTGGCTTGGAATGAAGAGAGAGATAGCAGAATTTGTATCCAAATGTCTTATTTGTCAGTAGGTAAAGCCAATTCATCAGAAAACAGTAGGACTTTTACAGCCATTGCCTATTCTAGAGTGGAAATGGGAGCACATTACTATGGGACTTTTTATTTGATCTTCCTCGTACCCATAATGGTCATGATGATGTTTGGGTTATTGTGGATCATTTGACCAAGTCTGCCAAGTTTTTGCCAATTAAAGCCACTTAAACTTTAAATAAGTTGGCAAAGTTGTATGTGGACGAGATAGTGAGCTTATATGGCACTCTATTATCTATTGTGTCTGACAGAGACCCTCGTTTTACATTTAAATTTTGGCTCGATTTACATGAAGTCATGGGTACTAAACTACATTTTAGTACATGTTTTCATTTTCAGACAGATGGTCAGTCGGAGAGGACCATACAGATTCTTGAGGATATGTTGAGGGCTTGTGTTTTAGAGTTCAGAGGTAGCTGGGATCCACATTTGTCGTTGACGGAGTTTGCTTACAAAAACAGTTAACACTCGAGTATAGAAATGGCTCATTTTGAAGCTTTATATGATAGAAAGTGCAGAACACCAGTTTGCTGAGATGAAGCTGGTAAGAGGAAATTAGTAGGCCCTGAATTGGTTCAAATAACTTTAGAAAATGTGAAATTGATCAGAGAAAATTTGAAAGCAACACAAGATAGACAGAAAAGTTTTGCAGATAGGCGTAGAAAAGATCTGGAATTCGCAGTTGGAGATAAAGTATTTCTAAAATTGTTGCCTTGGAAAGGAATTTTGAGATTTGGCAAGTGAGGAAAATTGAGTCCATGATGCATTGGATCATATGAGATTATTGAGCGGATTGATACAGTTACATATCGATTAGGTTTGCCAACTGAATTATCTAGAATCCATGATGTTTTTCATGTCTCCATGCTCCGCAAGTACATTGCAGATCCTTCTCATGTTCTAGAGTCTCATCCAGTTTACTTGAAGGAGAAATTGACTTATACAGAGGAGCCAATGAGAATTCTAGATAGAAAGGTGCAAATTCAGCAAAACAAGACAATTGCACTCGTAAAGGTGCTTTGATAGAATCAGACGGTAGAAGAGGCAACCTGGGAGCATGAGGATCATATGCGTGTTCAACATCCTCATCTATTCGTTACCTAATCAGATGCCAGTTGAATTTCGAAGACGAAATTCTTTTAAGGAGGTAAGATTGTTACAACCCAATTTTATGTAATCAAAATTCAAAGATTGACTCATCAAAGCCAAAGTCAAATAGGAACTAAAATAAAATAAATTATTTATTGGGGTTTAATTTGTATTGAAAAATAATTGGAAGGTTTAAGGTGGATAAAATTTAAAGTCTAGGATTTACTTTTATACTAATAGAAGTTAGAAGGACTAAATGTTATTATAAATGGAACATGGAGGACTTTCTTTGCAATTTGGGAATAGTGGCCGCTTATTATATACAAATAAACCATTTTTTCATTTCAACACACAAAGAGGAACTAGAAACGGCCAGAAGCTATGAGAAAAAGGGAAAGAAAAGAGGGAAGAAAAGGAGAAAAAGAAGAAGAGATGGAAGAAAGGAAAAGAAGAAGAAGGAATGAGGTAGTTAAATGTTGAACCTTTATTCTCTTGAAGAGGTAGATAAATTTTATGTTAAGTTACTAGGGTTTAACTTGTAGTTAAATTTTCAGATTTTTGATATGAATATTACTTGGAGCTCAAGTTATTGATTCTTTAATTTCCATCTACACTAAGGTAAGGAAATATCAATTTATTTATTTTTTTGGCAAACCCTAGTTTTTAAATTTGATGATTTTCAAGGATTATTTGTGGAAATAATTACATTAATGGAATTATTCACTTGGAAGAATGATTTTGGGGAAACAATAGATATATTAATTTGGTTTTGGTAGTTTTTCACTAGAATGAAAAGGATAAATATTGTTATGATTGGAATGATGGTAAATTTGGTTAAAGTACCCACGTGTGAAGGTATTAGAAATAAAAATTAGCCTCAATTAATTAAAGGAAATTTAGGAAAATTTCGCAAGTCTCAAGAAATTTAGTTTAATTATTATATCATTAGAGATAAAATGTTCCTTGATTTTTAATAGTGGTTATATTAGTTATTTTGTAATGTATTTCAGGTGATGATGAATAAATTGGAAAAACTTACTGATTGTCATAGTCTATAACTCGTATTGTGTGAGTGGATAGAAACTTATTCAGAAATTAGTATTTATAAAAAATTTATTAAATCAGAAAATTTATTAATTCATAAAGTTGATTTGACAACACGATTTTTATAATAAAGTTGATTTATAAACAATTATTTTTAAAGTTAAATTCAGGTCAATTAAATCATTTCATTGACATATTATTTCAGTATTAAATAGTTCAACATATATAAAGTTATTTTCTAAAAACCACCAGAAAGTACCCAGGTGATTTTACCCACTCTGCACTGGTGTGAATGTATTTCCACAGTGTACGACCAGATAGCTCTACGCATATATGACCAGAATTTCATAATTACAGAATTTCAGAATTGAATAGCTTTGTCATGTCTATCGGCGCTAATCGATACATTAGTATAGTTATTTCGGGTACCTTTTTGGTGTGATTTTTAAATATTATATAGTTTATCAAATTTCAGAATACAGATTTAGCTTATTCAGTTTAAAGAATAAGGATTTTAGCTTAAAGTATCGTGTAATGATATTTGTATTATAAACCAGTTTTTAGAAAGTTAGCATAAATAGAAAACGTATATTTGTTTACAAAATAATCCACTCACTGAGTTATAAGTTCATATATTTCATCTCCCTTTTTCTTATCAGATAGTAGCTATGTTGAGCCGCTTCAGAGCCGTTGAATTACCAAATTGAGCCACTCAATTGTAATTTGTATGTTTCTTTTTGTTAGTTTGTACAGCTCATAATTTTTGGGGTAGATACATCTTTTGTCAGTATATATAATGGGCTCACTACATAATTTTGTATAAGGAATGCATTTGGAGTCGTCTCGTTTGTAAAGAAGTGTAAATTCCATTCCAGCGCACTTTATTTTGAATAGTTGTATTTGGAAGGGTCGATTTACCCTTTTTTAAATTATATGTATAGGTTTGAGAAAGTTGATAAATTTTCAGGTGATTTTAGTCTATATTTTAGAGGAAATTCTGTCAAACTTTTCTAAAATTATGTCACAGTCAAAGCAAATCATAGTTGTCTTGGTGGTGGGTTCTGCATTTAGTTGGTATCCCTCATCGGCGCACGACACGTGTCGAGTCCATTAGGGTGATTTGGGACGGGTCTTGTCAACCACGCCATAGCAACCACCCCCACCAACAAAATCTCCAAACCCTCAAAATTACCAAGACCACACCAAAACCCCGATCGCACACAGCAGCACGACGAGCGACATCGCGGCTTTGGAGTGTCGCAATAGTGATGTGCCACGTGTAGCGACTATCACAGGTAGCGTGCAATGACTATCACATATAGAGAATGGAGAAGAGATGATAGGAGAGGGAAAGAGAGAGAGATACGCGGCAGTGACGATCTTGGGTATTGGCTGCTTCTCCCCATGTAGAGATGTCGAAGAGGCAGGTGGTGGAAATGAAGAGGGTAAAGAGAGATTTGTGGAAATGTACTAAGGTTTGTTGGGTAGGTGAAGTGGATGTGGGAGATTAATTATATTTAATAATATTATTAGTATTAAAATATTGAATTTTGATTTGAATTAAGATATCTGATTTTTGTATAAATAAAATTTAGATCTGATTTTTTAAGTTAGTGTTTAAAAAATCTAGTTGGGTGTAATTTCCACATGATAAAATCCTTGGTAAACCGGTAGAGACCATGAGTTTATAAATTAAGAAAAACAAAATTTGATTCCTACCATTTGTTTCGTGGAGTTTAGGAAACTTTTGCATTTTCGTACTACGATTGAGTTTATGGTCATAAAATAACAAAAATAGTAGACTTTGGAATGAGATAACAAATGATTGACATATTTGAAGTTTTAAGTAAGAGACTTCTGAAACGGAATTAGAGTGGGTTACATGTAATAAAATGTTATATTTTCACACTTTGTTTTCTAAACGTTTATTAATATAGATCCACAATCTTACCAATTGGAGACGACATATTAACGACTCAACAAAGTTGTATTATAGAATTTTGTTAATAATACTCACATATTCATCAGTTTAAAGAAAAAGAAAAAACATTAAACTTCTATTTGTATCGCTTTCAAACAAACTTAAATATGAAAATTGTTATTACTTTTTGGTTACCTACCTAGCTAAAATTAGTTAGGATACTGCTAGGAGGGGACGACAGACCCTCTGCCTATAGGGGAAATCCTGGGCCTATGTGGCCCCAGGACAAGAGGCATTGCCCAATTAGTTAACCTCTCAACATAATTTGGATTCAATCAAATGGTGATTTATCTTGAATTGCAGTCAGCAACAATTACAAAAGTCACTCAAGTCGAAACAAAGGTACAATAAAAAAATCATAGGTTGATTAAATTAATGTCATGGTTTGTCCAAATTAAAGAAGACAATTGGAAGGGGTGAACAACCCAACGATCCTGTGGGTTTTTGTTACTTTAGATCACCTTATATAACTCACATTTATCCTTATTTAGATTTGTATCAAAATTTGAAGAAAATTAGGGTTATTGCGATGGTACAAAAGACTGTTTTGAAGGTTGATATATCATGTGACAAATGCAAGAAGAAACTCCTCAAAGCGGTGTCGGGATTACAAGGTATCTTCACCTTTGCTTTTCTTTCCTACTTAGTTTTAAATGTCGACTTATTTGGGAAGTTCAATTTGTTAGAATTAAACTATTAAATACATATTCAATTCAACATACTAAACTTTTAAAGTTCATATTGTGAAATGCGAGGTAAGGTGGAACGGGATGTATAGATTTGAAATATTTTGTCATCCCTAACTATATTTTCCAATTGTGCACAACCACAGTACACAAAACAACTGTTTCCTTTTCTAAACAATGTAGAAATAATATCTTCGAACGAAATTAGCGTATAAAAATTTAAATTATGTTAAGCCCCTAATTGATAGGAAGTAAAATTTAGATATTAATCTTACTCGAAGTTAACAGTTAATTTTAACTGCATATTTCATAGGTTTCACGACTGTTAAACCTCACATTTCATCAAAATTTATCAAAATTTACTAAAAATTCGATTTTAATTCCAACCAAACATTGGCTAAATATGATGGCTGGCGCATTTTGACATGTAAATCTTTTCCTTAATCCTATTCCGTCAATGTAGAATTCGCTTAAAACTTTCATCATAAAATTAAACACTTTTGATCGTTATAGTTCTTATGGAACCCCATTAGATTATTTATTTATTTTATCACTTACAGCCTGATTCCATAATGCATATCTAAAGTACGAGAAGAATAGTTAAAACAATATGCAAGAGCAAAAATTAAACATTTTTCTTTGCAATTTATTACAATGGATAATACGAAGTATATGCAAAGTTAAAACATTTGGCTAATTTCAAAGTTTTACATTTAATTATAACTTTTTTTTCTCATTCATGTTTGGCCAATTCTAGTTTTTCTTTTTAAGGTTAGCCAAACATGACTGTCCATTTATATCCTATTTTTCAACTATACGACGAAAGCTTAAATTACGATGAAATAGTAGCAAAATTCTATGTGTATATATTACGTCGACCCTTGTTTATTTTATTTTTATTAATATTATTTTAAATTTGGAATCTTCCATTTTAGGCATTGATAAAGTCGAAGTGGATGGTGCAAAGGGAACGTTGACAGTAACAGGTGATGCAGACCCATATGAAATACTAGTGAAAACAAGAAAAGCTGGAAAATATGTTGAAGTTGTCAGCATTGGGCCTCCTCCAGCCCAACAAAAACAAGATGGGCCTAAAAAAGCGGAAGAGAAAAAGCCCAAAGAGGAAGTTCAGGCCCATATACACACACCCTTCACCTGCCCCATCTGTGAGAGAATTCCAGTCATACCCATGACCCGGTGGGAAGAACCCAGCCCACCATGCTCCATCATGTGAAAACACCATATATTGATTTTCATTTGCAATTTTTTCTTGGGAAAAAAAAAATCAGTGTTTGAAGTAAAACGAATTTCTGAACGTCGACTCATTGCTTGAGCGCTAGGTGAACGGCAGCTAAACAGTCGTTAATATTTTTATCATAAATTTACCTCCCGATATCGTATTGAGATGATTCAAAATGCCTCGAAAAGCTAACTCAAAGAGATAAAATCCTTAGTATTCTCCAAATTCAAATGTTCTCTATATAAAAAAAAAAAATTTCAAGTTGCGACCAAGAATTTGGAGCATTACTTAAGGGGCTCTTTGACATCCTTTTGCCTTTTAATTGCATTCCCTTGATCATATCTAATCTTTTTGGACAACTTTGACATCTTAGACTTCTTCATGACCTATACTATCAATTCTTAACTATTTTGACTTCGATATAACTCAATAAACTCCGGATACAATTCAACAAGGACTTAATTTTGACTTAGGAAATTGTCAATTATAATTTGGATTTAACAATATCTCCCTTTGACATTTCGTGATAAAATCATTTATTTCAAAGTCATAAGTCCACTAAAATGTACCTAACAGACACTTTCACAACTACACTTCAACAACTTGTCAACCTGTTTTCTGAAACACAAGGATATCACAATATCATGTGAAAATAAGACGAAACTACCAAAACCAAAAACGTATAACGAAGTTAAATAAAACAACATAATAAAATATGTGTAACACCAAGACATGCAATATCATGATAATTATAAATTTAGAAATAAATCATAGAATTTTATATCAATATAGACAAAAAACAATACTATATCAATAATAAAATTCCAGCAAATATATTAGATGACTCCCCATAAATCATCTATCAATAAAAAAAAATTTTAATTTTTACATCTGACTCATATAATCAACTCTCTAAAATAAATATACATTTCTCCTCCTTTTTGTCACAAATAATAATCATATAAAATAAAATTTTATGCTTAATTTAATTTGCATTAGATGATAAACTGTATGTTGGGTGGGGTATACGTACATACATATACATACTGCACGTGTGAATCACAGAAAATAAAATGACTAATTTTAACATCTAATATTTATCTTATTTACTTAAATAAAACCTTAAATTTGTCTTCAACAATTACAATTTCATAACATACGACTTTTACATTAAATTACACAAAAATGCACATATTGAGAAAAGAAAATATTTTAAACCTGATTTCTAGGTTGAATCCTAAGAATCGTGAGCACATAATAAATATATAAATATAATTACATTCAAGCATAATAAAGTTATAAACATATCATAATTAAATTAATAGGTACGTCGATCGTTCAAGGCATCCAATGTATGTTTCACTGTAAAAATATAATAAGTCACGAGAAAAGTAATTATATCAATTAAATAATAGATGCAACATTGATGAGATTAATATAGAAAGACATGATAATAATGTGAATGAAGCACGTGTTATTACGAAATCCTACCCCTTAAAATATTTTTTTTTCTAAAATCTTCGAGGCATCACACTTTGATACCCATACTACAAATTCTTTAACGTCTTGGACTTCTTCAAAACCCATACTACAAATTCTTGACTATTTTGACTTTAATTATAATTCGATAAACTTCTAATACAATTCAATCAGGACTTGATTTTGACTTAAAAAATTGTTAGTTACAATTTGTACTTAACAGGTTGATTTTAGTACACCGAAACTACTTCAAATTCGCATCGATATATTCAATTGCCCAGTCTTTGGTAGATGACCGTTAAATTCTATCATTATCAATTTTTTTGACCACTAATTTGTCTAGTTAATCACATGCTTCCATTTGCTCAAATGTTGATAAGTATGTGAATCCACCACCTTTTGCAATTCAAAATAATACGACTCCCAAGGACTATTGCACCATGTGACTGCTTGACTCTACCTATGAATAATTTGGTTGAGATCTGTTGTTTATTTTTTATTTTTTTGGTCTAATTTTTTGTCCATTCAGTTGCAACTTTAATTATTCATGATATTTCAATTTGTAATTTAGTCTCCGTTTGGCCTTTATTAATTTTCATTCCATTCCATTTTATTTTTTTCTCTCCGATTTTCAACAACACAATCTTTCATAAAATAATATTACACGTAAACAAAAAAATTTTCCTTTTTTTTAACCACTCATTTTTCAAAAAAAGACTATTCCATCCATTTTCATTACTACAAAATGGGGGCCAAACGAATGCATATTGAACAACAAATTGGACAATAGATCTCAACTCGAATAATTTGGCTTCTACCACACTCACCAAGTGATTTAGTAATAATAGTGAGCAAACATATAAGTTTTTGTCCAGAAAGTCAACAATTTTTTCCACTAACTATAATAATTAACAAATAATTTATTTAAACTATTTTTCTTAAACATGCGAAAAATATATAACAAACAATATAATTTGCATTTTTTATAGAGTACAAATTCTATTCTTATATTTGAAGAATGAAAATGCGGTATAATAGCAATTCTTAATTTCTTAATGTTTTCATAAAAGATAATACTTTTTTTCATTTTCATTTTTATTTTTGTTTATAATGATTTTTATTTAAATTTTACCACGATAATGACATCTATGTTGAACAAAGTTCTAAAACATTTGTACAAAAAGTGTGCTTCACAAAATGGCTACTGACATTCACATGTGATTAAAATATTGTCCTTAAAAACCACCCACTCCCCCTATTATGTTTATTCTGTAACACTTTTGTAAGCCCATTTTCTGTGCATGTAGAATGCTTTGTTAAACAAATGAATTCTTGACAGGAGGAGTAACACTCACTTTTCAACCACCATTTGCTTTTCAAGCTATGCAACGAGGTTTATTAAAAAAATAAATGTTTAAATGGAACAAATTTCGAAACAATTTAATTGTTCTAAAAATTTCTAATTTTTGTCACAGCTTTCGTGGTCTATCTAATGCATCCGAGAATCCTCAATTGCGGTGCAAAATAGATCTCTAAAAAATTGATTTAAATTTTTTTTACTGAAGTAAAATTTGAATTTAGATTTATTGGTATGTAAATAATGATGCAAAAATAATTTAGGAGATATTAGTTTTCACTTTATACCTTCAATGAAGATGCATCAAATAAGAGCTAATGGCCCACCACTATCTATAAATCATTGACTTATTTACCGTCGGTTGACTACACAACAATTCCCCATTTGATCCCCATTAAATTTCATTGTATTACATTCTATTTCCCTCTCTCCTATTTTCAACCGCATAATCATCTATAAAATAATATTACACGTAAATCGAAAATATTTCTTTCTTTTTCAACCACTCCTTTTTTTTAAAAAAAATACTATTTCACTCATTTTTATTTTCAGAAAATGGGGGCCAAATGGGGGCAAAATGTACTATAGAATTAAAAATCATTAAAATTTTATTCTGTATGGCTGAGACATATTTAGCTCTATAAAAATTGATTATTCTAGTTGTACAATTAAGTTCTATAAAAATTAATCAGTTATGCTGGCTGTACACACATACACACCCTTACAATATAGAGGGTCTACAAATATAATATTCATGTGAGCCCCCTCACATTGTGAAAGGGTTGTATACCATGGTGTACAAGAAGTTTTTATTGAAAATTAATTATTCGAGTTGTTCAATGGTTGACAACTTGTGAGGTGTGGAGATCCACACCATCTATTAAAAAAATAATTTTTGAAATGTGTGGTGTAAATGTCTGTAAACTCATTGATTATAGGCCTAGTCGTTAACTAAGTTGTACTTCGAAAATGTATAAGTTGGCAAACATCATGTCCATTGATTTGAAAAAACTATTTTTGAATTCAATGGCTATGATCTTTGTACTTTACACATTGTCGAGCTCATTGTACATATTCATTGTACAAATAGATTAATTCTATTTATAGCCTGTTTGTCTCCCATTTTGAAAGAAATTATAGAGTTTTGAATAGTATTTTTTGAAGAATGTTTGGTTAAAATTAAAAAATATATATATTATTGATTTTTGTGTAGAATATTTTATTGTGTAAATGTGTGGTGAAAAATATTACGATAGCAGACAATTTAATTTGTTAAATGATGACAAACATGAACTTAATTCTATATTAAATGTAAGAGAAATAGTAGGAACTGGCCACTGTTCTTCATCCATTTTATAAAATGACCACATTTTATAAGTATTAGAAAAATGATCGCTAGATAAAAAGTACCAAAATAATATCAATTTATGCAAGACAATTCATCTTGTCAAGGTACTTCATAATTGTCGCGAAGATAGAGAACTATCGTGAATGTTGATTGTTAGGCAACTATTTGTAAAACATTTTTTTGTTCCATATAGTTCATTGCGTAATAAGAAAGTTTGAATTGTTTTGCAGAAAAATGACTATAAATAAAGCTTAACTAGTGTTTGGTTTACTATTTTTAACATATTTTCAATTTTGAGTTTCGTGAAACACTGAAAATGTGTTCGGTATAATATTTCTAAAAAAGTATTTTGAAAATTAAGGTTAAACTTATAACATAAAATTCAAAACGCGTTTTTGATATTTTGAGTATTTTTAGAATGAAAACACTTAAAACATGGAAAACAAGCATTTAAATAATTTTTTAAAAATATAAAATTCTGACAAATAATATTTTAAAAAATAAAAATTTGATAGAATAAATTCTAAAATTTTGAAAAGCTAAAATTCTAAAAAACAACAATAAAAAATTTTGAAAAAAAATAAAATTAGCAAATTTTTTAGAAAAACAAAAATTATATTAAAAAAATAGATCAGACACTTGATGATTATATATAATAAAAATTATAAAAAATATTTAAATGAACACAGATAAAATATTTTCATTCAATGTCATCGATTTTTATATATTTATAACTCAATTTATTATTTATTTTATTTTATTTTTGTAGCGAAAAAAAATATTGTAAGATTCACCAACTTTATAATGTATATATTAATATAAAATTGTTCTATTTTTCTAGTTTTGTGTTTTGAGAAATAAATTTTCAAAATAACAAAAAAAGCAATTTTAGCAATCTTAAAATATACCATTAAAAT